GGTGCCGATGAGATCAAAGGAATGGAAGGATCGCTCCAAAGGCGGCGTGCCATTGACCTGGAATTCATGGTGGAACTTGATTGTATCCCAGGGTTTACCAAGGAAGTTGATGGTAAAGTGGGATGATATACTGGGAATATATAATGGGAGCATATGTTCAAAAGGTAAATTGATGGTATTTTTTAAAATCTTTGATTGGTAGGGGAAAAACACACACGTTTTTTTTGAGAAACACCATGACTTTTTCTGAAAGGAAATGATGGTGAACAAAGAAATAGCTGGACATTGAGTTATAGAAATATGGTACCTTGAGATCATGATACATCGGGGGTTGGGGCGAGTGATCATCCAAGTTGGAATTTTAGTTTCTGGAAGGGAAGCCAATGGTGAAGAAACAACCTGGATACTAGAAAGCTTCGGGGAGAATCATGTTGAAGCATGCCCATACAAAGTGGACCCCACCAGTTTTACATTCCCTTGAATACTCCTTCACTTGTTGATATATTGGCCATACCCGTCTTCCACGGACAGGGACCCACGTTGTACGCTGAGTTTATATCCAAGTGTTGGGACATTTTCCCGCATTCAGGGTGGCGTGACTGCTATGAACATCTCCAGATTCAATGGACCCTCCGTGGGACCATACAAACGGCTTGTTATGATCGGTAAGTCTTTGAGGGACAAGAAGAAAAACAATCCACAAATCATACCTGCAAACAGGAATGCTTTACCACTTAAACTTTCAACACATAGAAGGATAACTGGAGCCGAAGCCCAGTTTTAAAAGCTTCCCAATTAAAACTTCGCAGAGTGGATATCAAAGGACGGACAGTTGCATCCAACCCCCAGCTCTGGACTGGAGCAGGCTGGGTGAAAAAATCAGGGCTCAAGGACTGATAAAATGTCTGTTGCGAATACAACATCTGATTGGTGGTTGCAACCCATTCAAAATCCTCATCCCAGCCAATGGTTAAAACTTGAGCCATAGTTGAAAGCCATCATCATATACCCATTATATCCCCATGTTAGATGGTTACTAATTCTTTGTTGGTGAAATACCACTATTTGGTGCTGAAACCACCAGACATCGTGAAATATGAGTGACCTTCACCAATTTTAGCCGAAAGCAAGTAAATGAGGGTTTCCACAAATGGAGGGTACCCCGAAATGGATGGTTTACAATGGAAAATCCTATTAAAATTGATGATTTGGGGGTACCCCCCCATTTTAGAAAACCTCCAAATCAACTATAAATCCTGATGTTTAATAGTTAAATTAGCGTTCAAACCGTTCCGGTCGCAGGCTGACATGCATTCCTTTTTATGGCAAGGCGTGAACTGTACACCACGGACAGATTGATTTGGTGGCCGGAAGTGAACCCTTACAGTGAGACCAAAGATATGGGAGCAGTTTCCCCTCGGTGAGTGACTGCTAACTGGTACAAAGGTCGGGCAATCATACCTGCAATAGGTTCATCTGACATATTTGGATGGTGATATTGATTGAGGATCAAAAAATGGCGAATCTAACTATGGTTCATCCAAAATAGTCTATGGATATATAGGAATAATTAACCATTAATATTAAGCATAGTGGGTTAATAAAAATTCCCGATGTTGTTCTGTTTAGCAACCAAAGAGACGTGAGCTCTCACAACCAGAACATTTAGATGGGCCATTGAGTTACCCACCGCGCAAGTGCGCTTGCCTTTTTTTGTTTCATGATATGGGAATATTTCATGGCTAAGCGACCAGTTTCTGAGGATGTAGTATGATAATATATTAATACATGGTAATATTACATTGGTAAATATTACATTGGTAAATATTAATTGTACACTGTTTATACCATTGATTACAATTGGGTATATATATATATATATATATGGTAAGTAAAACCTACAATATCATTCTGGTGCCCCGGCAACGTTGGTTCAAAACGGGGCACCACCTGCATCACCTTGGATTCCATGCTACGTTTTCAGGGTTCATCATCATTCCCCCCATCATATCCCCAATATACATATTATATTGTACATATACAGTGCCTATATATATATAAATATGTAATGTATATGTGTGTATATATATATATATTGTGTATTTATATATATATATATATATATTGATCATATATATATATATATATACATATATCGTATATATATATATATATATACATATAGCATATATATATATATATAGTGTATGTATATATATATATGTGTCAATTATTTCATCACTTAACGAGATATCACCCCACTTATTCACCACTTAATCTACTGAGTAGGCACCGACCTTTCAGATATCAGGTCACCGCCATTTTTTGTGGTCAATGTGGTTAGCACCAGAGAAAAATATGACCATGTCACTGCCCGGGGGATCAAGCATGGCAAGCGGAAAACATTGTTTTGTTCGTAATTATCATCTTGAAATGGATTCAGTGTTTTTCATTGTATATCATCATATATCATCAAAATAGATAGATATACTATCATGACACCGTTTTTTGGAATACCATCCACAGGGCCCAATTCATCAAGATTCGAATTACTTAAACTTAACAGTTAAACTATCCTAATCCTCACATATAAATATATATATATATATATGCAATTATATGTACATTATATAATTGATAAATTTATCCATTATGCTTAAACAACATAATCGCCTTTATATGAAGTAGCATCATATACCCTCTGCTGCACAAGCCTACCAATTTCTTCATCTACATCTGGGAATTGTCTATTGACAGGTTTGTCTGTTGACCAGGGCTCATCAATGATACAGGATAGGCCCCCCCAAGATAGCGTTCAGTTGCCTTAAAAGTGGCTTAACTATGGTTTATGGTAGATATCACGAAACTTTTTTCCCAAACGCCAATGAAGGTGCGCGGCTTGCCATTGGCTTCGAGGCTATACTTAATGGGGTTTATAAACCAATGTATAACTGGGGGGGGCATCCTGTAGATACAGTACATCTATCACACTTCCTAGCTAACCTACTTATGGTCGGGATTGTGTTAAGAAATCTGATTATATAAACACGAAATTAGATTCCAATTTTCGGGGAAAGTAATTTACTTAGGCTCTATTTAGCGGACAAACTTATCTCGTCACCATATGTGCTTCTGTCACTATTCCCTTTTGAACAGCGCAAGTACTGTACAAGCAAATATTGTAACAAATGGGAGGTTACGGTTAGGGACCCAGGGACCCAGAGTGCCAGAGAGTTTCTTAAGTGACCCAGAGTGCCAGAGAGTTTCTTAAGTACCAAACATCCAGGGGCTGGATTTCATAGCCATGAATTATTGTGCTTAGACTCTCACAATTCATGCTTATTGGTAGTATATATGTATAATATATGTGTATAATATATATATATATATATATTTACATGTATCTATCTATGTATCTAACTATGTTCTCAGCTGGTCCTGGGATTGGCCTTTCACTGCTGCTGCTGCTGCTGCTGCTGGAGCTCGAAAGAGGTCTATTTGCCACATCTCTTAACCAGAGGGTCGTAGCTAAGAAATATGTTCGACTCTAAACCCAAAAAAAAATATATTTCTTAATATATAAGCCTCAGCCGTAGACCAACTAGCCAAGTAGGGAAACCCTTGTATATGAAGTTGATTTATGATGGCAAGATGGCAACGGATGTCATGGGATTACAACTGGGGAACAATCCTCCGTCTCACTGTTGGAACACCTAAACCGCCCTACCTGGCTGGCTCCCAGCCGTGGAAAAGCGACCGAGAGATCGCGTGGATTCTGCTGGATTTGATGGTTTGATTGGGGTTTGATTGGATTTCATGTTCTTGGTGAAACCTCATGCAACAAACTATGATCCGCAATATATGAAGCATTGGATTCATCTTGAGATTTAGTTTGTTGCATACACCAAAGATTGTTTGCTTTTGAACATACAAAGGCTGCCTCTTGGCGTCGGCGTTGTCTGATTTTGCACTAGGAAGACCATGTCAAGCTGGCTTCTTGGTTGAAGGTAAGCTGTATGTTGGCTGTATCATCTTCCCCTGCGATTTCAACGTATATCACCCACCCATTTTCTGTAGCTTTGTTCCCTTGTTGCTTCCCATCAAAACAAAAAACAATAAATTGTGTTAAACTACCCTTCAGCATTGGCTTAAAAAAAACGTCCTTCGATTTTTTCATGATCAGATTCAGACGTGCCCTCGTCGCCGGGAGCGACTGAGCCTCGATGCCTCACTCACAACCTGCCGTGGCAGAAATCCCATCGAATCCCCGAATCGAATCAACTTTTCTAATGGAGATGGAATATCAATGAGTCTAAATGGATATATCAGATATATCATCACAATATCATAATTCATGGATTACTGGATGGAATATGATGGAATATTGTCCATTGCCATATAAGTAGAGTCTAGCAGGATTAGTATATTATAAGCTAAAGGTCGATCCTTGGCTGCATTTGCTGGTACCCTTGGACCCCAATATTGCAAACAGTGACTATATGAAGTCTATGACTGCAGGGAGAGTCAGCCAAATGGCCAAGCCATTCAAGAAATAATTCAAATGTCCATGCATACGTAGTGGTTTTGACATGCCGCACATTCTTTATCTAGCACTAAACTGCAGAGCTGTCACCACCAAGACTCTGGATTGCCCATCCCGGGCTACGGATAAAGGGCTAAGGATAAATTATGATAAACGGCTATGGATAAATGGCTATGGAGAAAAATGGCTACGGACCAAAGATAGATCCAGCAGAGCCAGCGTCTGAACCATTTCTATCGCACTCATTGTATATTCATTTTACCCTCTAAACTCAGCTAGGGTACAAGCTAAAGGTCGATCCTTGGCTACATTTGGAACATACAGTATGACATCATGCTGCTTATTGTTTCTCATTGTTTATCATTGTTTCTCATTTTGCCCCACAACTTCTCAGAAATCATCAGAAATCCATAGTGTTGGGGTATTATATATTCATTGTTATCTCGTATCCCCCATTGCACTAAGTAGCGCAAATCATTGGTGCCGGCATTCTGCTCCAGCAGTTTCGTCACGCACTTTTGCTTCGCAAAAAAATTGAGCCGCAGCCAGCGACCAACGCGCCGCTGCGTCCTGACTCTTTTGTCAAGGTCACAGCGTGCACGTATGAATTTGCACAGCACATCATGATTTATGATGCTAAATTCAAACGTACATGTTTATACGTCTATAGGATTCTTTGGGGTCATGCCATCCAACTTGAAACGATGTGGCTTAAGCCACCACCACAAGGAGCCCCTCAGCGAACAAATTGAAATTTCTTAGAGGCGAGTTGCCCCCTGTTTCGGGCAATGTCGTCGACAAACTTTGAAGGTGTCCAAAATAAAAAACGGAAGCATCATTGAGAAAGCAAGGTAGCAAAAGAAGCCCACGCTGTCAGACTGCCGGGTGACTCCTACAACAACAGCAAAACTGATCACTGCCCATAAAAATATGACCCCGGCCACCCCAAGTGTCTTGAACCAATCCAAAAGCCGAGTGCGACCAGATTCGGAAGTTCTATCACTTAGGTAGAAGAGGCCATTGAATGCGCACCAAGACCACAAAATAAAAGCCAGATAAGCCAGGAAGTTACGGGCAAGGATGCGAATGTCCGCACCAGCTTTGTACGAGCAAACGGAAAGGTCCAAGATCCAAGTAACCTGAGAGGAAAGGATCAAGGCCGCATAGGCACAAGGAAGGTGAGGAGATGGCAGCAGACTCAAGAGTTCCTCGCGAAGATCACTTCGAACGAAGTCCTTGAAAGCTTCCCTGCTGCCGTACCAGGCATCAATGGCACTCAATATGAAAGCCCGATCAAAGTCCGAATGACAAACCAATGTATTAACATCAAAACTATTCAAATCGAATATCAGCCGCCCCTTTTCTCTGTAGCTGTGACGCAGAGCATGTACAAGAAATATCACCGGCAACAGGAAAATTGCCATAAACAGCACCACAACATGCCTTTTGCGAAAGCTGCTGTCCGTGAGAGCAATCCCCGCAGTGGCTGCAAGCACCGCACACCACATAATGAAGGCACAAATTACAGCAGACCGCTCAACAAATAATGGTGAGATTGTAAGTTTTCCTTCAGGATGTGCTTTGCGAAATCCCACAAGCTCGAAGACACACCAAAGGCTCGACAAGTACTCCGGTGAGTACAAAACCCGGAGTTCCTTTGTAGCTGTAAGGCACCCACCAATGGTGTACAAACCACGTTCAAACATGTCATCTCGCCCCTGGTGAATGCATGCCACATCGAGAAAGCACACCTGCGTCTTGAGTGGCAAGAAAGGAGAGAGAAGCAGACCAGCCACCAGAAAAGCTCCTGCAGAAATGATGATCCATGGGCCCAAGACCACTGGGACAGGTGTTCCATCAATCCAAATCGAACCGTTGCCCCACGCGCCACCGACAACGTCAAAAGCTCGCAAAAATAGCATGGCAGTCAGCCCGACCACCCAAGCCAACAATGCATGAGGCCAACCTGCTTGCATCATCAAAGCAAGAACTTTCCACCTGCCTTTTGTCTTCCAGGTATGCGACAAGAACATGTCGTAACTTGACACCTTGGTCGAAAGAGCCCAGACTCCGGACGACCGATTCCTCCTCTGGATTTCATGTGGGGAGGTCCAAAGCTCAGAGTGCTGAAGTGCTCGATGCAAAGGAATGCCCCGCATGATTTCATAGTCACTTTCCATGTGGCTCATTTCTGTCATCTTTCTCCAACGGAAAGCTGAAAAAGCTGAAGGTGATGTCGGTGATTTCGGGCTCGGGCCACTCTCCTCCTCCTCTACCGGCGCCAGCTGGTCAGTGAAGGAAATATCCATCGCCACATTCACATTGCTGGGCCCAGGGTCATCTTCAGATTGCTGTGAAAAACTGGGTCTTACATCGGAATTGATCACTTCTGCATGAATTTCTGCTGCATTCTTGCAGCAACAGTGTTCTGCTCCCATGGCACACCGGTGAAACGGAAACATGTCGCTCTCTGGAGGTGTCCAATGTCCATTTGGTGTTGTATAAGAACACATATATTCTATAATTTTATATAACTATCTTGAACTAATAGTCACAAAATTAAATAATTGAATTCATAGTAGTATTTGATTATCGCCCATAAGATAACATGACCAATCCATCTTTTATCACCCGTAAACTTTGACCATCAAATTACTACGACCTATTTACTACCTTCCAGGATTATCTAAATCACATATCCGAGATTTTCCATATGGCTATGGGTCATGGCACCCTGGCACTTGAACCACAAAATCACCTGGAAATAGATGTTCATCCCAACCACGAAATCGCAAAATTGGGCTTATTTCCAGGGATCATTCCATACAATTGCCAATTATCATTCGGTTGATGCGAGAAAAAAACCATAGAACGTCCCATGGTTGTAGCTATCCAAAATCAGATCTAAAGTGTGCAGCACCGCCTCCTTTTCATGAGAAGCTATGGATGATGTTGCCCTGATGGTGAATCAAACATCAGATACATCTCACAGCACCTGGCACCAGTTCGTGAGCAAAATTGAATTGGTTTATATAGTTCATTGATATTTCACGAGGCTTTGTGGTATAATATATTGAATTTGTACACCATGAATTTGTACACCATGATATTTACATAACTCTTATCATTTATAGTTCATACAGTTACAAATAAAAGGACCGGGTAACCCCACAAGTCAACTTCTTCCAATAATGAGCAAGAAATGTTGTTGCGGGGACGGGGAGGGAAGGCAAGAGAAAGGAAGAGGTGGAGGAAAGATGGTGTGTGACAAAGTTGTCTGCGTGAAAGATGGTGTGGTGAAAGATGGTGTGTGACAAAGATGGTGTGGTGAAAGATGGTGTGTGACAAAGTTGTGTGTGAAAGATGGTGTGAAAAATTGTCTGTGACGGTGTGTGAAAGATGGTGTGTGTCAAAGATGTGGTGTCAAAGATGTGGTGTCAAAGATGGTGTGTGACAAAGTTGTGTGAAAGATGGTGTGTGAAAGATCGTGTGTGACAAAGTTGTGTGTGAAAGATGGTGTGTCAAAGATGGTCTGTGGCGGTGTGTGAAAGATGGTGTGTGTGTGTGTCAAAGATGTGGTGTCAAAGATGGTGTGTGACAAAGTTGTGTGTGAAAGATGGTGTGTGAAAGATCGTGTGTGACAAAGTTGTGTTTGAAAGATGGTGTGTCAAAGATGGTGTGTGAAAGATGGTGTTGACGGTGTGTGACAAAGTGCTGTGAAAGATGGTGTGTCACAGATGGTGTGTGAAAGATGGTGTGTGACAAAGTGGTGTGTGAAAGATGGTGTGTCAAAATTGGTGTGTCAAGGATGGTGTCCGAAAGATGGTGTGAGACAAATTTGTGTGTGAAAGATGGTGTGTGACAAAGTGGTGTGACAGATGGTGTGTCAAAGTTGGTGGGTAACAAAGTGGTGTACTGGAGGCTCTGTGTACTGCGCCTGCCACACGAAAGGTAGCCGCGGCCCACCGGCAGCCACGCGCGCCGCAACTCCTCCTCGAGCTCTGTGTACTGCGCCTGCCACACAAAAGGCAGCCGCGGCCCAGCGGCGGCCACGCGCGCCGCAGCTCCGCCGGATGGCTCTGTGTACTGCGCCTGCCACGCGAGAGGCAGCCGCACTGCACCTGAGTGAGTGAGTGAGTGAGTGAGTGAGTGAGTGAGTGAGTGAGCGATTGAGCGAGCGAGCGAGCGAGCGAGTGAGTGAGTGAGTGAGTGAGTGAGGTGTTTGAGTGAGGTGTGTGAGTGAGGTGTGTGAGTGAGGTGTGTGTGTGAGTGAGTGAGTGAGTGAGTGAGTGAGTGAGTGAGTAAGTGAGTGAGTGAGGGAGGGAGGGAGGGAGGGGAGTGAGGGGAGTGAGGGGAGTGAGGGGAGTGAGTGGAGTGAGTGGAGTGAGTGGAGTGAGTGGAGTGAGTGGAGTGAGTGGAGTGAGTGGAGTGAGTGGAGTGAGTGTGAGTGGAGTGAGGGAGTGAGTGAGTGGAGTGAGTGGAGTGAGTGGAGTGAGTGGAGTGAGTGGAGTGAGTGGAGTGAGTGGAGTGAGTGGAGTGAGTGGAGTGAGTGGAGTGAGTGGAGTGAGTGGAGTGAGTGGAGTGATGGAGTGAGTGAGTGGGTGAGTGAGTGAGTGAGTGGAGTGAGTGGAGTGAGTGGAGTGAGTGGAGTGAGTGGAGTGAGTGGAGTGAGTGGAGTGAGTGGAGTGAGTGGAGTGAGTTGAGTGAGTGGAGTGAGTGGAGTGAGTGGAGTGAGTGGAGTGAGTGGAGTGAGTGGAGTGAGTGGAGTGAGTGGAGTGAGTGGAGTGAGTGGAGTGAGTGGAGTGAGTGGAGTGAGTGGAGTGAGTGGAGTGAGTGGAGTGCGTGGAGTGCGTGGAGTGCGTGGAGTGCGTGGAGTGCGTGGAGTGCGTGGAGTGCGTGGAGTGCGTGGAGTGCGTGGAGTGAGTGGAGTGAGTGCTGGGCGTACGTGGAGTGCGTGAGCTGGGGCTGGGAGTGAGTGGAGTGAGTGGAGTGGGTGGAGTGAGTGGAGTGAGTGGAGTGGGTGGAGTGAGTGGAGTGGGTGGAGTGGGTGGAGTGGGTGGAGTGGGTGGAGTGGGTGGAGTGGGTGGAGTGGGTGGAGTGGGTGGAGTGGGTGGAGTGGGTGGAGTGGGTGGAGTGAGTGGAGTGAGTGGAGTGAGTGGAGTGAGTGGAGTGAGTGGAGTGAGTGGAGTGAGTGGAGTGAGTGGAGTGAGTGGAGTGAGTGGAGTGTGTGGAGTGAGGGGAGTGAGTGGAGTGAGTGGAGTGAGTGGAGTGAGTGGAGTGAGTGGAGTGAGTGGAGTGAGTGGAGTGAGTGGAGTGAGGGAGTGAGTGAGTGAGTGAGGTGAGTGAGTTGAGTGAGTTGAGTGAGGTGAGTGAGGTGAGTGAGGTGAGTGAGTGAGTGAGTGAGTGAGTGAGTGAGTGAGTGAGTGAGTGAGTGAGTGAGTGAGTGAGTGAGTGAGTGAGTGAGTGAGTGAGTGATGTGTGTGTGTGTGAACCATCTGAAAAGATGTAAAACTTCTAACTTAGCAGGGGGCATGCGGCCATCATGCAAACGCATGCCAACGAAGCTATGCATGATGGTGGAAGCCGGGGCTGATCACCCGTGTACCTGCTTTACCATGTCAATGTTTTCAGCCATGGGACGTGGCTAACCCAAGAACCACCATGCCGTTTCCAAACAAATTGTTTTCTTTTCTCGTTTGCACGGCTTTCGCAATCTGAATTTCTGCCAACTTTGTCAGATGGAACAGTTGCATCTAGCAAGGACGTAGAAAGAATTCCTCTACACTGTCTCTCACGCCTAGTCATTCACTATTTCCTGTCAGGTTTAATTGGAGTGTTTTTTGCACGTCCGATGCATTCCACATCAGGAATTCGATAAGATATTTCTGAGCAAGTGTGTGACTCATGCCGGATCCGTCAAGGTGGTATGAGCCCTTCGGGGAAAGCCTTTGTAGGCTAACTGTGGACAGTAAATCGATGTCTGAATTTACACTTTTGAATGAGTAATTCGTTTAAGTAAAGTGAACAGCCGGCCTCTTTTTCCTTGTCTCACCCGTCGATGTCGTTGTGTTGAACTGCTGGCCGCTGTACTGGGCCTCACCCTTTTCCTTTTCTCATTTGTCAATGTCAATGTGTTGAACAACTGGCCGCAGTACTGGGCTTCAACTTTTTTCACCGTTCACTTTGCTCTGCATAGCTGGAAGCTGCGACAACATCTCTCCTTTTTTGAGTGCTGCTCAAGAGACTGACCACATGTCCGACATGCTCACATGATCAGGCAAAAGGACATGCCTGCAGGTATGGTGCCTTTTTCTTTTTTTTGGTCGTTGGTGAGGTTCAATTGTGCACCTAATTCAGGGGTTGAACACGTAAGCCGTCCAGAGGGTTGTGACTTGAAAGCCGAGGGCCTTTGAGCCTTATCACGAATTTTGCATGCGTTGTGGATGCATCATGTCATTAACTAGTTCCCCATGGGTCCCTATTTCATGTGTTCTTGCGTTCTCCTCTCTCCAGGTAGGTTTGGCCCGTTGCGTGCTGAGGTTGTTGTAGGTTTTCGCCGTGTCAGGTTGGTTCAGGCGCTTCTGTCCTCCCCCTCCTCCGCTGGTCTTGTTCCGTTTTCCGTCGGCCTCCGCTTTTCTTTTCCCTTGCCTTTCCAGGGTTGCCCGTTCTGGGCTAGGTTTCATGTGTTGGTGTTTGCTCTTTCCCTCTTCTTTTGCGTTCCCCTCTTTGCGTCCTGGTTAAGTAACTTTCATCTCATTGTCATCTTCACCTCATCTTCATTTCCCTTCCTCTTCATTTTCATCTCATTGTCGGGACCTTAATGTCCCACCCTCCTGCGGGAGGGTGTGTGTGTGTGAACCATCTGAAAAGATGTAAAACTTCTAACTTAGCAGGGGCATGCGGCCATCATGCAAACGCATGCCAACGAAGCTATGCATGATGGTGGAAGCCGGGGCTGATCACCCTGGTGTACCTGCTTTACCATTTCAATGTTTTCAGCCATGGGACGTGGCTAACCCAAGAACCACCATGCCGTTTCCAAACAAATTGTTTTCTTTTCTCGTTTGCACGGCTTTCGCAATCTGAATTTCTGCCAACTTTGTCAGATGGAACAGTTGCATCTAGCAAGGACGTAGAAAGAATTCCTCTACACTGTCTCTCACGCCTAGTCATTCACTATTTCCTGTCAGGTTTAATTGGAGTGTTTTTTGCACGTCCGATGCATTCCACATCAGGAATTCGATAAGATATTTCTGAGCAAGTGTGTGTGCGAGTGAGTGTGTGTGTGTGATGTATGTGTGAGTGAGATCCAAGGGTGATATGTGTGTGAGTGTGTGGTGTGTGTGATTGGGATGTATGTGTGTGTGTGAGTGTGTGAGTGTGTGAGTGTGTGAGTGTGTGAGTGTGTGAGTGTGTGAGAGTGTGTGAGAGTGTGTGAGAGTGTGTGAGAGTGTGTGAGAGTGTGTGAGTGTGTGTG